TGAGTTGTTAGCAAAACTGTCACATCTGCAATGACGAGAGGTATACTGAATTACTAATAGTAAGTGATCTTAAAACTGCCAATATGTCAGTCCTAGAACTTCAAAGGAAGGGACCTTGTGAGTATCTAATCTATCCCTTCATTTTACATATGAAACAGTAAGGGACAGAGAGGAAATGTGATGAGATCATATACAGGTCGAGTATACTTTATATTATAAAAAAGCTTGGTATCAAAAGTGTTTGGGGGGACTAGCAGTTAGCGTAATGGCTATGTCACTGGACTCCCATGTAGTTGACCGCGGTTCGTGTCCTGGACCCGGTGGCTTAAAACTCACGCCGGGCGGGTGTGCGTGCGTGCCCAAGATCCCGAGAGGAGAATGGAGGAGAAGGGATTGCGGCGTGGCCATCCCCCCTGGGGGGGGGATTTCTCACTTTCTATCTCTCTGTCTCTCTCTCTGTCTGGCGAGCACACGCGCCCTATAGCAAAAAAAACTCTCAAAAAAAAAAAAGTGTTTTGGGTTTTGGATTTCAGCAGATCTTAAAAATACATGATGAGATATCTTGGAGGTGGGACCCAAGTCTAAAGACAAAATTCATCTATGTTTCATATATCCTTTTATATACATAGCCTTTGGTAATTAAAAAAAAATTTTTTTTTAATTGTCAGAAGCAATGTGTGCTCCCCAGAGAGATGGAGAAAGAGAAAGCACCTCCCAGAGGGGCTTGGTCACATTACAGTTACTTCCATTTCTCCAGCCTGTCAGAATCTGGGGCATACATAAACATGCACCGCACATACTTTTCAAGTTGCTGGATTCAAACTGTGGTCAGCCATGGGTGCTCTGGCTCCCCTTAGTCGCTGCATCATGACACTAGGCCCTGAAAGTAATTCTACACAGTATTTTTGCACTGTAGTATTTTAATCTATGGCTCATCTCGTAAGGTGTGGAGTTTTCCACTTGTAGTATCATGTGGGCGTTTGAAAATTTTCAGATTTTGGATTTCTGGATTAGGAATGCTCAATCTATACCTGATTTCTAGAAAACAGGAAAGACTTAAATTCTTATAGCATAACAGAACCCAGGTCTGTTTTACTATCTGGTACTCTTTCCTCGTCTCCAAGTTTTAAGGAAAACAATTTTCAATCTACATATGGGGGGCCACCAGATGGTTACATTGCTGGATTCCCACGCAGTCGACTCGACTTCGGTTGAGTCCTGAACCCAGCAGCTTCAAACTCGTGCCAGGCATGTGTGCGTGTGTGCCCAAGATTCCGAGAGGAGAATGGAAGAGGAGAAGGGACTGTAGTGTGGCCATCTCCTCTGGGGGGTGATTTTCTTGTTTTCTGTCTCTCTCTATCTCTCCAGCAAGAGCACGCACCCTATAGGAAAACCTCTCTTAAAAAAGAAATCTATACATGGATTGACAGATACATAAATTCCTGAGTAGGTCTTAATTCCCGATACCTTAACCAGAGAACTGTATGGGCAAGCAGATTTACAGTGTTTTAAAATTCTGTATATCACACTATATATTTCATCTCAAACATACCATACAACAATAAACCCTCTAGACCTACACACAAATATATAAATATAGCACATTAAGCTTAAAGCTAATTACTTTTATAATTAAAAAAATTAAGTTTAAAACATAAGGATAGTTTTAATGAAGAAAAAATAGCACTTTTTTTTTTCCTCTCTTTTTTATAGGTTTTTGCTATAGTGCATGTGCGCTCCCCAGAGAGACAGAGAGACAGAAATCACCCCCTGGGAGGATGGCCACGCCACAATCCCTTTTCTTCCACTCTCCTCTTGGGATCTTGGGCACGCACACACAGGTGCCCGGCGTGAGTTTAAGCCACCAGGTCCGGGATTTGAGCTACTACATAGAAGTCCAGGGACATAGCCATCACACCAACTGCTGGTCCCAGGAAACATGCACTTCTAAAAGTCAGTCTAGGAACTAAGGGTGAATTCTAGTTTTGCTTCAGTGATGCCTGAAATGCAGAGTGAGAAGATCCAACCTTATAAGTTCTAATGATAAAACTATAAAAACCTCAGGTTTTGTGTACCAGAGAAAACCTGTTCCCCCTCCAATATGTCTCCTGCAATGACTACCTAGCTGGAGTTCCCGCAAGCCTTCAGAGAAATATAGTTACCCAGGGATTAACCTGTCCCCCTCAAAATGAATGTTGATGATATAGACGCCCACATATCTCTAGACAAGGTGTTGAATATCAGGAATAAAGGTCTCATTTAATTTCCTCTATCAATGGAAAAGGCAACCTCTGCTGATCATCTTTGAAGAAAAGTCTTTTGAAAACTTACGAGATGAGTCCTTAGAATTCACCAGCTCCCTGGAACAAAAATACTGATAGGACAGCCGGATACTACCAAAAAAATTTTTTTTTCTTTTTGAGAGGTTTTCGCTATAGGGTGCGTGCGCTTGCCAGACAGACAGAGAGAGACATAGAGACAGAAAGCGAGAAATCACCCCCCAGGGGGGATGGTCACGCCGCAATCCCTTCTCCTCCATTCTCCTCCCGGGATCTTGGGCACGCACGCACACGTGCCCGGCGTGAGTTTTAAGCCACTGGGTCCGGACGCGAACCGCGAACCGCGGTCGACTACGTGGGAGTCCAGCAACATAGCCATTATGCTAACTGCTGGTTCCCCCCAAAATTTTTGAAAATGGAAGTCAGCTATGTCTGAGAGTACACCTAGACCAGCATATCCCAAAAGATCTGTGCTGCTTAACAGAGAAGCATCTTTTTACTTTTGCTGTGAGAGTTCCCTTACCGATCAATCTTATTCAATAAGAGGCAAAACTGGCACAGTATGAGCTTCCCCTTCTTTCTTAAACAAGCAGGTCATGCCCACTAACTTCCTACCCTACCTTGTCTTATTCTCTTAACTAAGCCCTTGCTTCTGTTTTCTATGCTGCCGGACCTACTGCGTCGCTGGGAAAACCATGACGCATTCTGTATAGAAAAACATGTCATGACTTTCCTGACAACTTCACATTTCAGGTTTTTAAAAATTCTACTGGGGCCAGCAGGTGACATGATGGTTCAAGTGCTAGACTCCCACATGGCTGACTGCGGTTAGAATTCCAGACCTGGCAGCTTGAAACTTATGCCAGGTGCGTGTGTATGAGTGCCAACATTACGAGAGGAGAGGGGAGGAGAGGGGAGGAGAGGGGACTGTGGCATGTCCAACCCCCCTGGGGGGGTGATTTCTCGCTTTCCCTCTCACTGTCTTTCTCTGTCTCTCTCTGGCAAGTACACATGCCCTATGGCAAAAACCTTTAAAAAAAATGCTTCTAGGACCATCCTATTCTTGGACGGAACAATAAAAGCTGGCCCAAGATTACTCTGACCAAGGACACAAGCTGCCAAGTTGCTGAGCTTCTGACCTCTCTGTCATGGACCTTCCCATCTTAACAATCCCAGCAAAAACTCCTTTGGCTGTCTTCAAAGATTCTATTACTTCCCCTCCATACAGAGCTAGGTTATGAGTCCTAGACGTTATCATTTTAAACGGTGCGAGTTCCTAGGACGGCGGTGAGGGAAGCCTACGAGGAGAAGCTCAGGTCAGCAGGGGCAGCACGTCCGCCTGGGTTTGCTCCCTCCCTCCAGTCCCCCTTTCTAACCTTCCCTTACTACCTGTTGGCAGTGCTGGTGTTGCTGCTCCCACTGCTGTGTTTCTGGGCCCGGCTCAGACAGCCGGATACTACCAAAAAAATTTTTTTTCTTTTTGAGAGGTTTTCGCTATAGGGCGCATGCACTCACCAGACAGACAGAGAGAGAAACATAAGACAGAAAGCGAGAAATCACCCCCCAGGGGGGATGGTCACGCCGCAATCCCTTCTCCTCCATTCTCCTCCCGGGATCTTGGGCATGCACACACACGCGCCCGGCGTGAGTTTTAAGCCACTGGGTCCGGACGCGAACCGCGAACCGCGGTCGACTACGTGGGAGTCCAGCAACATAGCCATTATGCTAACTGCTGGTTCCCCCCAAAATTTTTGAAAATGGAAGTCAGCTATGTCTGAGAGTACACCTAGACCAGCATATCCCAAAAGATCTGTGCTGCTTAACAGAGAAGCATCTTTTTACTTTTGCTGTGAGAGTTCCCTTACCGATCAATCTTATTCAATAAGAGGCAAAACTGGCACAGTATGAGCTTCCCCTTCTTTCTTAAACAAGCAGGTCATGCCCACTAACTTCCTACCCTACCTTGTCTTATTCTCTTAACTAAGCCCTTGCTTCTGTTTTCTATGCTGCCGGACCTACTGCGTCGCTGGGAAAACCATGACGCATTCTGTATAGAAAAACATGTCATGACTTTCCTGACAACTTCACATTTCAGGTTTTTAAAAATTCTACTGGGGCCAGCAGGTGACATGATGGTTCAAGTGCTAGACTCCCACATGGCTGACTGCGGTTAGAATTCCAGACCTGGCAGCTTGAAACTTATGCCAGGTGCGTGTGTATGAGTGCCAACATTACGGGAGGAGAGGGGAGGAGAGGGGACTGTGGCATGTCCAACCCCCCTGGGGGGGTGATTTCTCGCTTTCCCTTTCACTGTCTCTCTCTGTCTCTCTCTGGCAAGTACACATGCCCTATGGCAAAAACCTTTAAAAAAAATGCTTCTAGGACCATCCTATTCTTGGACGGAACAATAAAAGCTGGCCCAAGATTACTCTGACCAAGGACACAAGCTGCCAAGTTGCTGAGCTTCTGACCTCTCTGTCATGGACCTTCCCATCTTAACAATCCCAGCAAAAACTCCTTTGGCTGTCTTCAAAGATTCTATTACTTCCCCTCCATACAGAGCTAGGTTATGAGTCCTAGACGTTATCATTTTAAACGGTGCGAGTTCCTAGGACGGCGGTGAGGGAAGCCTACGAGGAGAAGCTCAGGTCAGCAGGGGCAGCACGTCCGCCTGGGTTTGCTCCCTCCCTCCAGTCCCCCTTTCTAACCTTCCCTTACTACCTGTTGGCAGTGCTGGTGTTGCTGCTCCCACTGCTGTGTTTCTGGGCCCGGCTCAACCTCCGTGGGGGCTTTGAGTGCTGCAGCCGGGGGCTCGGCATAGAGGGGAACGATGAGGCATAGCCATGTTCACACTCTGAAGAGAGCAAGAGAAAAAGATATGGTAAGAAAATAGATACCCAAATCCATGGACCCACAAATCTGAGGTCCTTGAAGTAAACAGGTTTTTGAAAGCAGAGAGGCAAAATATTTCCATTGTTCTGGGTTAGAAAATAAAAATCCCAGTCTTTGCCTGAACATCAACCCTGTGACATATACAGATCCAACCAAGCACCTTCTCCCTCCTTACCAAGACCCTTTTCTCCAAGCATCCTTTCTGACTTAAACACCCTCCTTTCTGAGACCAGTTACCATTCACCTCAATGACTTTACCTGCCTCTAAAATTTCCCTGCTCCTTTTATTTATTTTTTTTTTTTTTGGAGAGGTTTTCGCTTTAAGGCGCGTGCGCTCGCCAGACAGAGACAGACAGAGAGACAGAAAGCGAGAAATCACCCCCCAGGGGGGATGGCCACCTCTCGGGATCTTGGGCACACATGCACAGGCCCCAGCGTGAGTTTTAAGCCACCGGGTCCGGGACAGGAACCGTGGTCGACTACGTGGGAGTCCAGCGACATAGCCATTACTCCAACTGCTGTTTCCCATAAAATTTCCCTTCTCCAGTGTCTTTCTAAACTCTGCATTTTTCCATTCTTCAAATAATTCAATCATCTGGTCTTAGGAAGACATTTTCTATCCTGGTACAAGGATTCCCAGAGTTCCTGCTTTTCATATTCCTCTCTCTTTACATTTCCTTTGGTCCCCTAAAAACTCATATCCTTTTTTTTTTTTTTTAAGAGAGAGTTTTGTTTGTTTTTTGCTACAGGGTGGGATGCTGGCAGTGGCCACACCGCAATCCCTTCCGGTTCTCCGTTCTCCAGATTCTTTTTCTTTTTTTTCCTGGAGAGATTTTTGATATAGGGCGCATGTGCTCGCTGGACAGACAGAGAGACAGAGTGCGAGAAATCACTCCCATGGGGCAGGGCCAGGCCGCAGTCCCTTCTCTCCTCCATTCTCCTCTCAGGATCTTGGGCACGCATATGTGGCTGAGTTTTAAGCCGCCAGGTGGGACTCGAACTGTGGTCCACTATGTGGGAGCTCAGCGATGTAACCGTTACGTCATCTGCTAGCCCCTTCCTCTCAGGGCTTTGGAAGCTCCCAGTAAGCAGAGGAGCCCGGCCTTGAGTCTGAAGCCACTGGTCAGGACTCGAACTTCAGTCAGCTCCGTGGGAGTCCAGCCATTATGCCATCCGCTGGTCCCAAATGACCGATGTTGACACCCCTCACGAACTGGGCGGACCTCCTCCCCGCAGCACCCCTCCTGCCCACTCATCAGTGCGCCTGTCCCGTCAGGGTTCCGACCCAGCTCTGCACCCACACCGCGCGGCTCCTGCACGGCCTTAGCTCTCCCCCCATCTCTGTCCTGGGGGGAGCACCCCCTGGCCTCAGCGCCTGGTCCCACCCCTGTCCCCCTCGGCCACACCACCCTGCCTCTGTCTGAGCCCGGTGCAGCCCGGGTCCCAGCCCTCCCCTCCGCCACGCTTGCCCCCACGCAGGCAGGTGCACCCACCCACAGCGGGGGGGGGG